CCGCACAGTGAGCTATAAAAGGCCCGGAAATGACAATGTAAAACAATTCAAACAAGAAAACTAACGGCCTAATTTATGTACAAAAAATGAACGAATAACAAATATGCAACACATAAACAAACGACAACCACTGAATTACAGGCTCCTGACTTGGGACAGGCACATACATGTACATACAGAATGTGGCGGGGTTAAACATGTTCGGGGGATCCCAACCCACCCCCTAACCTGGGACAGTGGTGTATCAGTACAATATAAGAGCGAACTATAAAAATCAGTTGAAAGAGGCTTAACTCATCAGATGGATAAATACAAATACAAGTGGACGTGGCCGGGTAGTTGTACATCCAAACAACAAAAAGACCTTAAGTACAGATCTGAGAGTACTCGCATTTACTGACAGCTAGTTCAAAGCCACAAACAACTGATTAAAAAATCTTGCATCTAAGACTAAATTATCAATCCGTAAGCTCCCTTTAGAATTTTATAAATTTTAAATTTTACATTATTGAGTTATGGGGTTTTATTCATTAAAAAGGGGGGGGGATTTTCCAGTTTTTGGACAACAACTCAAAAATGCTTTAAGCAGTTCGCATGAAACTTTGGTGAATTATTTATAGCTATTGATGTAATCTCCCTATTGATTTTCATAAATTTCAAATATGACATTGAGAAGAAATTGAACTTTATTTGTTTATAGTCTGGCAACAGATTTATTAAGTATTGCGCAACAGCACAGTGTATTGCACAACAGCAAGAAATCTTTAATTGAATATAAATTCAATTCATATAACCGATTTCAAGTTCTTTGACTACATTTAATCAGAAACTATAATATGTCAAATATTTAATTACAATCCAAATTCAGACCTGTATCAAGCTTGAATATTGTGTCCATTTTTGCCCCAACTGTTCATGGTTGGACCTCTGTGGGTGTATCCAGCTGCGCTCAGCGAATCAGTTTATTACTTAATTAAGAACTCCTTTTTGTCGAGCCTGCGACTTTTGTCGCAGAAAGCTCGACATAGGGATAGTGATCTGGCGGCGGCGTTAGCTAACTTCTTAAAAGCTTTATATTTTAGAAGGTGGAAGGTCTGGATGCTTCATACTTTGTATATGGATGCCTCATGTTACGAAGTTTCCGTCAGTCACATGTCCAATGTCCTTGACCTCATTTTCATGGTTCAGTGACTACTTGAAAAAAAAGTTAAGATTTTTTGTAATGTTGAATTCTCTCTTATTATAAGTAATAGGATAACTATATTTGGTATGTGCATACCTTGCAAGATCCTCATGCCCGTCAGACAGTTTTCACTTGACCTCGACCTCATTTCATGGATCAGTGAACAAGGTTAAGTTTTGGTGGTCAAGTCCATATCTCAGATACTATAAGCAATAGGTCTAGTATATTCGGTGTATGGAAGGACTGTAAGGTGTACATGTCCAACTGGCAGGTGTCATCTGATCTTGACCTCATTTTCATGGTTCAGTGGTTATAGTTAAGTTTTTGTGTTTTGGTCTGTTTTTCTTATACTGTATGCAATAGGTCTACTATATTTGGTGTATGGAATGATTGTAAGGTGTACATGTCTAGCTGGCAGGTGTCATCTGACCTTGACCTCATTTTCACGGTTCAGTGGTCAAAGTTAAGTTTTTGAGTTTTGTCTTTTTTTCTAATACTATATGCAATAGTTCAACTATATTTGGTGTATGGAAATATTTTATGATCTACATGTCAGTCACGCAGGTTTTTTTTTACCTTGACCTCATTTTCAAGGTTCATTGCTCAGTTTTAAGTTTTTGTGTTTTGGTCTGTTTTTCTTAAACTATAAGCAATAGGTCAACTATATTTGTTGTATGGAAGAATTGTTAGCTGTACATGCCTGCCTAGCATGGTTCATCTGACCTTGACCTCATTTTCTTGGTTCATTGGTCAATGTTTAGTTTACTTGGTTAATGTTAAGTTTATGTGACAGTTGTAATAAAGCTTTATATTTAGGACTATCAACATAATATCAATGATTAGTAAAGAAGGCGAGACATTTCAGCGTGTGCACTCTTGTTTCATTCATAAATTACTTTATACTTGGAAATATAATTTTGCTTGGAGTTATAGTTTCTAAAAAAAGTATTGTCATTGAAAGAGTTGACATGTTGCAATGTACATTTATTCTACATAGTTCTACGGTACCAAATCAAAAGTTTATATTAAAGAAAGAAGTCAAAGGTTTCCCATCATAGTTTAGTTACATACATTTTTTTTGTACCTGAGGTCGTTGAATATAGATCATTATATAAATAAGGAGATGTGTTATGATTGCCAATGAAACAACTATCATCCATACATTGTACTTACCAGTAACAAACCACATTTGCAAAGTTGAATAAAATACAGTTGATAACATTTACTTATTACTTAAAAGAAAATGCCAAACTATTTTAAACAGTATTTGACTATAAACATAGATAAAAAAGGTACAAACTGGACATAATGCACTAGTTCATAAACAAGTGAGAACAATCGCCTTCATATAGTGCTCAGAATATGACATTCATAAAACTTGTTCAATATCATTAGAGAACTCTAAATCTTAAATACTGAAAGCCACCTCTGATAAGTACAATGTACTATGCAAGATAATGATATAACTGGACTAAAAATACACACAACCTGTAATTAACTGCCTTTACAGCGCTTTCGCGCTTTGATTTTTATTTGGTATTTACCATTTTTATTGTGATCAATGTCTTTTCATGCAAGTTAAACGAACATTTCCTCTGATTTTTCATCAACTTAAAAACAATACAGCAAACGAATTGAAGCCATGTAAGTCTCAATAGCCTATTTGACAATCACATCAAATTTAAATTTTTTTTGTGTAATTTAGAAGTTGCAATTTTTCTCTCTTTTTTTTGTTTGTTTGAAATTTGCTGAACTTTTCTCTATAGTTGGTTAGATTAGAGTTATTCCTTACTTGGTACTCATACATGCGACCTTCAGTAATGCAGCTATCTGAACTCTCTTGATGGTTCTTATCAAGCTGATGATGGGCCTGGAAAACATACTCCCTTCCACTGGCATCTGTTTGTATGGCAAAGGTTCTTTTGTTCATTTCTCATAGGTTTTCTTGTCCTTGCCGACATAAGTGAAACATAATATCAAACCATACTTTGTGTAGGGAGTCCTGCACGGGTATCAGTTTCCATGGCAACACTTCCATATCACTTTTGCAAGTCTTGTTGACCCAACGATGGGGTGTGGTCAATGCTCCCAAATCCTTCCCGTTTCAGTTGCAAAGAAACGGCTTTAAATATATCATTTGCCCTTTTGAATCTTATATGTCTTTTATTATGTCAACATCCATTTCCTAAAGGAAATGCCTGGCTAGTCCTAATCTTAATCCCTTCAGAGCTGAAAATTTGTAATATGCTTATGATCTTTTTTCCTGGCGTCTGTGTTAAATCTGATTAAACACTCGTTCAGTTTTTCTGGTGTATCAAATACCAAGTTATCTCTTTCTGTCGATAACATGAATTGCATCAGACATGTCAAAGCTGCTTTGGTTGCTTTTTTTGTGTTTTTAGCGTCTTTGTCACAAAGAAGTCTTTGTATATTGTCCTCTGTAGAGTTCCCAAACCGCTGGCTTGCCATTTTGTTTACAAACGTTGATGAAGTCATTTTCTACGAGAAAGAACTTGTGCAGAAACCAAGAGGCTCAAAAGGTTATTCCCCAATGGGTGTTAATTTGTAGGGTTATTCATCGCTGGGTGTTAATTTTTAGGATTATTCATGCTTCCTTCAATTTAAATGAAAATTTACTGAATTATTCCATGTCACGTGATAGTGTTTTACCCAAAAGAATTGTTTAGTACATATGTAAGGTATAATAATTTGTATTGTAATGGTATGCATTCATTAATTTAGATAATTGCATGTAACATATTTTCAATTTATAGTACATGTACACATATATTATCATTTTAACAACAACAAAATTGTATTTTTAATTTATCTTAAAGGGGCACTAGCTACGAGATATATAAAAAATCTAAAATATGATTTTTTTTGTACAATCATTAATGAAAGTGAAATAGTGAAATAATTATTGGCTTTAAGCAGCCAGTATGGTTCAATTTTGTCAAATTAATCTAAGAAACATTGATGATGAATTATTCACTTGCAAGTGAATAATTCAATCCCAATGCATCCGTATTCATATGAACTTCAATGTAACTCCTTAGCTAGAGATGGATAATGCATGAATTGTCCGTGTAAAGTTATTTAAGGGAAAAGAATGTCAACATTTAAAGTGAAACAAAAGTTAATTATTTGATTGACTGATTAGATCCACAAAAAATCATTCTTATACAGGTAAAAACAATAATAAACATATATTTTTAATCTATAATATGAAATTAAACAGACCTAGAAAAATCTAATTGCACAAGTTGCTTAATCTATTTATATCTATATTTATGTTTAAATCGCTTATATGGTCATCAAAGGTTAACTCGATATTTAATATGATGGCGTCTGGACTAAAATACACACGAAACGAAGCTACATATTATAGAGCTCATGACCTGTAAACTGTTAATTTAAAACTTTCAATAGTTTGGACAAATGTTTACATTGTTATAAATCAAATATGAGAATTTTAGTTAAATTGGTGAACATGAATTTGACAGCTAGAGCCCCTTTAATAGTTTACTTCCATATAATCTACTTACTTTCACTTTCTCTTTCAATTGTTATTTATAACGTTACTCACCATAGCAACATTGTGACTTTTTAATTGTCTGTCCTTAAAGTGTTGTTGTTACCTTACCTTCTTCATTTTATGTTTTTATTGTAACAACCCTGTATACCACTGTATGAAATCTACTGACAGAAGATTTACCAGGCGTTCAGGTTCACTTGTGTTTAGTTTATTTAATTAATTTTAATAAATTATTTTTGTATATAAAATTAAAGGATTACTGTTTTTTTCCACTTTTAGTAGATGAAGGTAGCAGTGAATTGACAAAAAGTACTGAAAAGAAAGGACAAAAGAAATGTAATATGTATTTTCTTACTTTAACTTTGAGTTGCACAAAATTACAGGGTTAAGCATAATTAACCACCTCAATTATATGCTTTAAATTATCACTTAAATGTATGAAATGGCTGTAAAAGACCTTCAAAATATCAAATTATACCATTTATTATTACGATGATATGTTTTACCTTTCAGATTTTTTAGTCTGCATTGTTTTATTTTAAAGTTCTCATACCAATGATCTTGAATATGCATGAAATATTTGCTACTAGACATTTAGTAACTAACAATTCAAATCATACCAATTGAAGTTTGTGTTTTTAAATTATTTTAAACATTTTCATTAGGGGATGGTTCTTTTTCAGATTTTTTGGTTTAAAAAAAATGTCAAGTTAGAAATTCAGTGGTAAAACCAATTAACCAATAGAAAAGTAACTTATGATATAAATAAAATTATTTCTAAACAATCTTACATTACTGTGCATGTGTTATTAGAAACATATGCAAACACATGATGTTTTATTTTCATTATTTATTGAGTTAATTGCATAAGTATATGTGAAATAAAAAAAAATTGTTAAAAAATGAACTTCTCTCATCTATGGCTGGATACATATTTGAAATATTGGCAAGTTCAAGAGAGGTATACACCTATCAAAAAATGAATTGAAGTTTGTACTCTAAGAAATTATTTATATAGCAACTTTTTAAACCAATTTTACTCAAAGCTCCTATAGCCTGCTGTATTCCTCGTTTGCTATTGGAGTAGGGAAATAATATCATTGTATGGAAGTTATACCATACCATTTTTTTATATATTTTTTTTTTATCTCAATGATGTTTTTATTGTTATTATTTACAAGAACATTTTCTTGTGAATTTATAATTGATAATGTCCTTGCTAAAACGAGACCTGTGGAGGACATTTTGGAGAATTGTAATTTGATAATAGTATACAGAAACACCATCACATATTGCATTTTTATCTTTTGTTTGTTTCAACAACATTTATTTCTATTTTTAACAAAATTTTAAATACAAACAAATTAGACACTAACCTAGCATACATTACTGTTCATGGTTTTATCATAGGCCTTGTAGTATTATTCAACTAGGCATAAGTTTTTGCTCAAATGGGCCATAGAAAATACAGGTAAATGGATTAATCCAGAGCCTAAAAGGACTATAATATTAGCACTAAAATGCTAAACTAAAGAGTACCCCTGAAGTTACAAATTTGTTACTAAAATGTCCTGCACCCAAGGGGACAATTTAACCTTGAAAAGAATAAGTGTTTAGTGTTTGCAGGAGAGGAAGTATTTGACACTAGACTCTCTCAGGTCAAGCAGAATAGCCATTGAGAAAATTTACTTAACATATTTCCTTCAAAATCTTATTTAAACTAATTGGTATTTTTAAAATTGTTCAGAAAAAAATTCAATGAACATATGTTTATATAAGGTTATCTATTGTTAAAATATAACTTCTGATAATTATTTTTCAGTCGTGGTATACAGTTCTTCAGAGAATGATTCTAGTATAGAAAGTGACTCAGAGAATGATTCTAGTCCAGAAAGTGACTCAGAGAATGATTCTAGTCCAGAAAGTAACTATAGTACAGATTATGGTGAAGGTATATATTTTGGCTTGCTTGAACACAAAATGAAAATTGTAAGGATGTGTGGTATGATTACAATTGAAATAGTTTAATCTACCGAAGATTAAGTGATGTGGGTGTAATCAAATATAGGTCAAAGTACAGCCTTCAATGATGAACAAAAACCAGTACAATAATGTTACGGGAGCAGGTTGAAAAAGGTACCATCTTTGGTAATTTACTAATCCTAGGATATTTGAAAAAATTTACAGAAAGATTGCACCCTTATTAAAGTTGTGCAATTTCTCAAATGGCATTTCTTTAATAATTTCCCACACATCCTTCCAGAATTTGGAACTATTGTAAATAAGGAAATTTGGTATTATTGCCATGGATGTGATAAAATAATTTGTATATCTCAATCAAACAATTCAGAAACCTTGGTTTGATAACACCTGAGAGATAACCAACCCTCCTAAAAAGAATTCCAGATAGGAAACCCTTGTCTCATTCTTTTTAGAATACTAACATCAACTCTAATGAATTTCTCAATGAACATTGATTACTACATAAAAATAAAACTGTTTGAAAGAAAATAATAGAAAAGACCATTCAATTCACTAGGCACTCATGATTTTTTACTTAAACCAAAACTATGTCTAGTCTACAACAGGACAAAACTAACACTAGTCAGTATATAGAAGTGAATTATCAACAACAACAAAAATCAATTAAAAGAAATACTGTCAAACAACTTATTTTTCACGGATACTTAATTTTGTGTTTAGCTGTTTCTATCCCATATCGCGCCGATTTAATTTCGCGATTCTCAAAACTTGAGGAAGATTAATAAGGAAACATCCAAGTTTTACTTTCCACGACGATTTATATTCGCATAATCGTTCTTCTCACGAAAGTCACGAAAATAAATCACTCGCGAAAATAAGTTGGTTTACAGTATGAAGTATGCAATATAATGTTGCTATTCCTAGTCATAATGCGAAAATAGATCAAAGAATACAATTCCTGATTTTCACACAATCTTGATATGGCCCATTCAAAAGAAATATTTACTGCAGCCAAAGTATCTCTATCTTTAGTTTTTATTATTCACTGAATTCAACTTTTCACTATATTTTTGCTTCTAACGAACAACACAAAGGTTACAACTAGTGAAGCTGGAAATGTTTATCATAGAAAAGCATTTGAGGAGTATTTCCTGACTTTTAGTAAGGTTTATTTTATGCTTTGTCTTGGTATCTTCTTACCTTTTCTATGTTTATGATCAGGACTCTGACATGATACTACATTTGAATACCTTTACAGTAAAAATGAGACAACATTTGTTTGTCTGAATATTCAAAACCACTATAGTATTCAAAGGCATTTTATTATGTCAGTAACCAAATGTAGATTTTACAGGAAATAGTGATTTAAAATATCCACATAGACATTTTAATCCTATAAATACATAATTGTGGTTATCAACTTTATTTTGACATGCACTGCAATTAGTATTGCAATAACATGGTTAAGGGATTTATAGCATATTTTTCTTTAAAAGTTCATGTTTCTTTTTTTTTCTTTATTAGGCAGCAGTTCACACAAGAGAGGGTTAAAAAGAAAAAGTAAAGGTAATAGATTAAGTATTATCGATCATGTGGATATTAACTATTATAAATTTTTATCAACCAATTTTATTTGAAATATATGAATGTATGCATTTCTATACATAAGCTAATCATTTGAATTATATCAAATTCATTCTAATTAGAAAATTTATTGTTTGGTTGGCTGACTTATGAGAATGAATCTTTCCTTGGTTATGTCCTCTCTTTTTAAATTGCAGATGACCAAATTGAAGAACAAATCAGAAGTAAAAAGAAAGGTAAGTTTTAAAAAAATGTTACCATATCTCCTTAATTTTATGCAAGTTTCAATATTGAGTAAGATATAATTTGAACTTTAAAAGATAAGATTTTTTTGGCACTCAGAATATTGATAAGCTGAATTTTACTATGAAAAAAGTGACATTAGCTCACCATCACTTGGTGTCCGTCGTCCAGCGTCGTCCGTTAACAAAAATCTTCTCCTCTGAAAATACAAGGCCAAATTTAACCAAACTTGCATTGGCCACAATCATCATTGGGGTATTTAGTTTTAATAAATGTGTTGGATGACCCCGCTTACCAACCAACATGGCCACCATGGCTAAAAATAGAACATAAGGGGTAAATGCAGTTTTTGGCTTATATCTCTGAAACTAAAGCATTTAGAGCAAACCTGACAAGGTTTACAAATGTTCATTAGGTTAAGATCTATCTGCTACAAATTTTTAGACGAACAAGACAAGACGTCATTGGGTTGCTACCCCTGAATTGGTAATTTTACGGAAATTTTGCATGTTTAGTTATTATCTTCAATATTATTATAAATAGAGATAAACTGATAACAGCAATGTTCAGCAAAGTAAGATCTACAAATAAGTCAACATGACCAAAATTGTCAATTGACCCTATAAGGAGTTGTTGCCCTTTAAAGTAATTTTTTTACAATTTTTTGTAAATTTTTGAAATCTTTTACAAAAATCTTCTCCTGAAACTACAGAGACAAATTTAACCAAACTTGGCCACAATCATCATAAGTTATCTAGGTTAAAAATTGTGTCCAATGATCCCGCCTGCCAACCAACATAGCTGACATGGCTAAAAATAGAACATATAGGTAAAATGCAGTTTTTGGCTTATATCTCTGAAACTAAAGCAAAAGTATAATGGTTGCATTATTTCATCCATCAATTGTAAACAAAAATTTCAGGTGAGGGACACAGGCTCCTCTGAACTTCTAATTTAGATCAGGCTATTACAATAGTAAGAAAGATTGTACTTTGAGACTGACAGTCATGTAGTATTACTGATGAAGTTGTGCTTAACCATAAATAGATAACACTGAGATAAGTGATTAGATGTTTAAAAGATTATACTATTCAAGTATTAATTACGTAGCCAGGTAACAAGTACAGGCCTCTACAATAACTTTTTTTTCAACTTGTCCAGTAGGACAAGTACATACCAAAACTTACTTGTCCGAATGAAATTGTAACTTGTCCAAAAAAATCTTAATAATAACCTTTTTTGCATTTTAAGTTGATTCAAGGAACAAAAAGAATTAAAACAATAGAACAGAATTTGATTTATATCTTTTGAAATACTATTCAAAAATATGAGTCGAATACAATTAACTGAATCTAGTCATGTCACAGAACTTAGGTTCTACTTGTAGTTCCTCAATGCCAAAGTCTCATCAGATTCTGCACATGAGGCACCATCTGATAGGGCTGTCAATGTACACTCATTGGATTTGTATCCTGGTTTTTTAAAGTTGAAAAAAGTTTATTCAAATGCAATAAATAAAAAAAAGATGAGGTATGATTGCCAATGAGACAACTCTCTGCAAGAGACCAAATGACACAGAAATTAACAACTATAGGTCACCGTATTGCAAGTATTGTTTTTTTTTTCTACATATGATCAAATATGATTTTGTGAATTTAATGGTAAATAATTTTTCATTTTTATCTAAAAAATATTTTTGTTAAAAAAATTACCGGTATGTTATTTATTATAAAGCAACAGAATAAGGTAGGAAAATGAGGTACTGATTTGTCTTGGTCCCGAAATGTCTCCTGCATTGCCAAACTGTCTATTAATCATGTCTATTAAATATGTCTCCTATGGTGCCAAACTGTCTATTAAACATGTTAAACTTGGAGCCGAATCGTTTCTGAGCTTGTGACGAACTGTCTTGTAAAGTTACCTTATCTACAAAGCGCATCGCTGATTCGGATCAGTAAGACTGGTTTCCGAGAATAGTATGCATTTTACCTGTTAAAAAGTACCTGACAAAGAACCAGTTTTAAATTATCGATTGCAAGTAAACATGTCTTGTTTTCATCAAAGTTGGATTAAATTTATTTTATGCAGAATAATTTTACTTGTCCCGTCGGACAAGCTTGATATAGTTTTTACTTGTCCGACCCTTTTTCCCTCTGGTACCGGACAATCGGACAAGCGTTATTGTCGAGCCCTGAATTACCAATTTTAAAGCATTGAATGAAAGTAACTATCATCTTGAAGTCAATTTCAAATTGGGCACTACAGCAACAGGGTATCATTTTTAGTTCACCGGGTTCAAAAGTGCCTATGTGATCTAATGTCATCACACTTGGCGTCTGTCGTTAGTTGTCGATGTCTGTCGTCGTAAACTTTTTCAAAAATCTTCACTGAAACTTCTGGGTTTGTTATTAAATTTGTACCTTTATTGAAAGAGTACTAAGTGACCATAGTAATTTTCATTGTAGGAAGGAGATATGTTAATTGGAATAAGGAGGATGAAAAGGTTGTAAGAACATACTTCAAGGATTATGTCGAAGACGTGTCTAAAGAAAAGTCCAAAGGATCACTACCTGGTATGTTATAGTATAAGGGCAAGTTTTTAAAAGGTTTCAGTATGAAAAAAGTATTTTTTGACACTGCATAAGTTTTTAGCTCACCTAGCCAAAAAGGCCAAGTGAGCTTTTCTCATCACTTGGCGTCCGTTGTCCGTCGTTAACTTTTACAAAAATCTTCTCCTCTGGGCCAAAGTTAAACAAACTTGGCTACAATCATCATTGTGGTATCTAGTTAAAAAAAAATGTGTCAGCCATGGCTAAAAATAGAACATAGGGGTAAATTGTAGATTTGGCTTAAAATCTCTGAAACTTAAGCATTTAGAGCAAAACTGACAAAGGGGTAAAATTGTTCATCAGGTCAAGATCTATATCTGCCCTGAAATTTTTAGACAAATCAGACAATGCGTTGTTGTGTTGTGCACCTGAATTTGTAATTTAAAAATTTTTGCAGTTTTTGGTTATTATCTTCAATCTTATTATAGATAGAGATAAACTGTTAACAGCAATAATGTACAGCAAAGTAAGATCTACAAATAATTTAACATTACCAAAATGGTCAATTGACTCCTTAAGGAGTTTTTGCCTTTTATAGTGAGATTTTAACAATTTTTTGTAAATTTTTTAAATCTTTTTCAAAAATCTTCTCCTCTGAGACAAATTATGCCAAGCTTGACCACAATCATCATTCTAAGAGTATCTAGTTAAACAAAATGTGTCTGATTATGCTGTAAAACTTGTCAAGCACCTTGTTACACAAGTTTTCAAAGTATTGCTTGTCACAGTTTAGCTTTTATGCAGTATGTTTTGATTCCATATGGCAGTTCGGTAGACCATGGCTACAAAATATTGACGATGCCATAATTTGTCTGATACCGTATAGCGGGTTATTTTCGTGGGGTGTTTATTTTCGCGGATAAACAAAAAACGCGGAAATAAATTCTGCGAAAATTTATGCATACATTTGGTAGTTTCGAAGTTAACATGGTTAAAGGATTTTGTAAACAATCTATTTTTCCCTGTTGACAGGTCAATAACGGTATATGTTAGTTTTAACAAGATAAATGCCAAAGGGCATTGTACATAAATGTATTTTATAAAATGACTGTCAGGTGTGTATACCCTTATTAATAAGTGTCAATTAGGATAAGAGTGTAAGGTACTCTTATCAGGTAATTACCCCATATTAATAAGTGTCAAACTATATAAGAGTTGTAAACACTCATGATAATTTTGTAACCTTATTAGTGAGTACATCAAAGGTCCGATCAAATCTAATCAATCGTAAAATTTACAAATCGTTTGAATACTTGTAACAAATAATTATCTAAGTTAGCGGTATTCTTATGATTAACTGTATCAGAAACTAATAAATAAATAAGAGGTCATTTCGGTAAAAAAAATGCTTTAGATATCATTATAATATCTAATATCTAATACTATTAATTATGAGTTTAACCTTATTTTACATGATTTCCAAAGCATCAGTAAATACAGGTGAGCGACACAGGCTCTTGAGAGTCTAGTTACTACTTCCATTCCAAATTCTGAAAAAATATTTTTTCTTGTTTTTAGAATTTAGAAAGAATGATTTGAAACATCAAAAAGGTTTTTAAAAATTTAAGATGTTTTTTTTCAATTATCATCATAGCCCAGGACTATTGTTAGAAAGTTTCATTTGTAAAATCTAAAAGGTTAAAAAATCTCAAAGTTTTTCTACAAATATCAAATACTCAATTTAAAATTGGAACTGTCAAAATTGACACAGAAGACCCACATAGTACTAAAAATGACGACCAAACTTCTGACTTCGTCTCTTTAGATTTTTTAATTTCCTCTTGTAAACGTCTTTCACACTTGGGCATTGTGATTGGAATAAGACAAGAAACACAAACTCATAATGTTATATAGATACTTATTTAATGAGTTCAAATCATCATTAATTAACTTGTGTACTGATCAGCTGTTAACAACAGTTAAACATATTTTTACCTATTTATATTACAATGAGCATGCAGTGTTGACAAGGCAGTTTAATTTCGAAATAGCAGATCATAATCAAAGTACTGAAGTACTGAACATCAAATGACCGCAAGTTCTTGTGGATGGTCAAAAGCACTTATCACAGAAAAAAATCACATCTCTATACCTGAAACTGAGGTTAATGTACAGAAATATATATTTTTTTGAGACAATTTCGTTCGTGGATGATAAATAAATGACAGGAAATTCAACCTCACCGTAATAACTATTATATTGTAGTGATACAAATCAGTATACACTGGTTTGTTGTTATATATTATATTAATATAACAGTTACATGTATATATAATTTTCATCCATTTGTATATCATTCTATTCTACTATTCTAATAATAGTGCAGTGCAAGTGCATGGTGGACACTCTTCTGTAAAAATTCGATTTTTCTAAAAGATTTGATCTGAGCAGGCATTCATATTTTCCCGCAAAAACAATTACAGAGTTACCGGTCCTTGCCGGGATTGTCGCATAACGTTTTTGAGATATTCTTCCGCATGCTTTAACACAATTTTTTGGTACGTTTGCGTAGATATTATCAATGATTTTTTACTTATTTATATATATATATATCTAACGACAAAACATTTTCATATTATTAATTTATGTTCTAAACAAACATATTTTTATCAGTATTCATTGAAGAGATGTATTTATAACAAACGATAAGGAATGTTAGTTTGCACTAGTTAATATCCACATATTTATCATGTTTATAGATTGGTTACAAACCCAAAACGAAAGTTACGTGTGCAAATCTAGGCGATAGCAATACATCGGAATGCCCTCACAGTCATCTCGATGTAACAAAACGAACAAAATAAAATACAATTGATTTCAAAAAGTCAGGGCACTATGAAAAAGGCAAAAGGCACCCTGGAAACTTTAAAAAGGGCACAGGGCACCACCCCTCTGAAAACCACCTAGCTGGATCAGTGTTTATGGATAGTTATTTTTGTCAACCTTACAAAAGTTTATGGAGAATCACTATACATAAGTGGTAGGTCAATGATATTTGGTATGCAGTTGTATAAGCATTGGAATATCTCGTTTCCATGGATATTATTTGGTACCGCCCCCTCAGTCATGGTCTATTTACTTTGAAACTTTTGCTTAGTTTACATGTATTATAGTTTGTGATCAGGTCAGTTCAAGGCTAGGGGAACCTGAATGATTAGTGGTAGGCCCATGTTAATTGGTTTGCAGTTGTATAAGGATTAGCACATCACATTTCCCAGTCTTGTTTCCATGGAGATTATTTAGTCGCAACCCCCTCATCATGGATCATTGACTTTGAAACTTTTACATAGTTTACAAGTTAAATAAATTATGTTTGTGTGTAGGTTTGTTTAAAGGAAACGACTTATGACTTATGATAAGTCAATGATATTTGGTATGCAGTTGTATTAGCATTGGCACATCTCATTTCCATGGAGATTGTTTAGCCATGTACCATCAGTCATGGTTCATTCACTTTGAATATTTGCATAACTATTGCTTTTTTAATTTCAACATTTGCATTATCAAAATTACAAAAAAGTGTGACATATCTCTGTGTTAACAGTTTATTGTGTTGAACATTAAAAACTTTTAAAAAATTCATTAAAATAATATTGTATTTCAGGTTTTAAGGCCATTGAAGTATTTATGAAAAAATATCCAAAAGTAATGGCCAATGAAACAGACCCTGTTATTAGAAGAGATCTTATAAAATACAAAGTCTTCAATGAAAGAAATAAGACCAGGAAAAATTATCAGCAGAGGAAGAATAAATATTCTATGTAAGGTATGTGTTTATTTTAATAAATTAACTGTTTATAATCTTTGAATTGTTCAAATACTTTATCTACCCCTGGGATAGATTAATTACCACTGCTGTAGGTGGCAAAACCTTTCATAATCAGGCTCAGAACTAACAACAACAACTTTATTTTTAGAGGGTAACACAGTTCTATTTAACTGATCTTCCCTGAGGCCCTCGTCATAGGAAAAGCATTAACAAATATGCAACATAAAGGGCATATATTAGTATGAAAGTCAAGTAAAATGAAAATTTTCAATACAACTGCATAAAATGATATGAAAATACACATGATAAAACAAAATAAACAGCGGTATAATACTGTTACTTTAATTATTCACCCCTTATTTTATTGATTTTGTATTTACATTATATCATGGATTAAATTAATTCGTTCAGTGTATGTTCACTTGTGTTAATATGTCTTTTGATTGAGTTAAGCCATTTCAATTGATATTTTATAGTGTGTCTTTCTATGTTGTGATGGTACACTATTGTTTCAGATAAGGGTGAAGGTTGGTACCTATTAAAACGTTTAAACCGACTGCAATTGTTTGCACCTGTCCTAAGTGAGGAATCTGATGTTCAGTAGTTGTCATTTGTTCATATGGTTCATAAGTGTTTCTCGTTTTTAGCTCACCTGGCCCAAAGAGCCATGTGAGCTTTTCTCATCACTTGGCGTTCGTCATCTGTCGTCATTAACTGTTACAAAAATCTTCTTCTCTGAAACTACTGGGCCAAATTTAACTAAACATGGCCACAATCATCAATGGGGTATCTAGTTTTGAAAATATGTCCGGTGACCCGGCCAACCAACCAAGATGGCTGCCATGGCTAAAAATAGAACATAGGGGTAAAATGTAGATTTTGGCTTTTATATCTCTAAAACCAGAGCATTTAGAGCAAATCTGACATAGGTAAAATTGTTTATCAGGTCAAGATCTATCTGCCCTGAATTTTTCAGATGAATCGGACAACCTGTTGTTGGGTTCACTTGGGTAATTTTAGTCGTAAGTTTTTTTGTGAATCGACTCCAGACTTTCAAGAACAATTCCGATACTGATTTATAATGATTTCAATAATCTGAGACACTAATTTCATCTCAAACGAGAAGGACAAATGTATAGAAATGAAATCAGTTACAGATATCTATATTTCCAGTTACCTATATCAACGGCAATTTATTTTTTTCAGTTACCCATATCACGTTTTTTGGACGACCGATTTCTCCTTTTAGCGGTTAAACTATGAAAAATCCCATAGTATTTCAGTTTCAAATTTAGGAAATTAGTCTTATCAGACACAAAATACCGAAGAATAGAACATAGTTATTTCACAATCTACAAAAGAAATATTGACTAGAAAGTCGTCCACCATCTTTGGATATACGTAACTGCAGTTACGGAGATCACATTTACCCCAGTGGGGTTGCTGCCCCTGAATTGGTAATTTTAAGGAAATTTTGCCGTTTTTGGTTATTATCTTGAATTTTATTATAGATAGAGATAAACTGTAGACAGCAATAATGTTCATCAAAATAAGATCTACAAATAAGTCAACGTGACCAAAATGGTCTGTTGACCCCTTAAGGAGTTTTTGCCCTTTATAGTCAATTTTTAACATTTTTTCGTAAATTTTTGTAATCTTTTACAAAAATCTTCTCCTCTGAAACTACTTAGACAAATTTAACCAAACTTGTCCACAATCATCATTAGGGTATATGGTTTTAGAAATGTGTCCGATGACCCCACCCGTGAACCAAGATGGTCTGACATGGCGAAAAATAGTACATAAGGTAACATACAGTTTTTGGCTCATATCTCTGAAACCAAAGCATTTAGAGCAAATCTGACAAAGGGGTAAAATTGTTCATTAGGTCAAAATCTATCTGCTCTGAAATTTTCAGCCCAATCTGGCAACCTGTTGTTGGGTTGCTGCCCCTGAATTGGTAATTTTAAGAAAATTTTGCAGCTTTTGGTTATCTTCAGTATTATTATAGATAGAGATAAACTGTAAACAGCAATAATGTACAGCAAAGTTGACCTACAAATAAGACAACATGACCAAAATGGTCAATTGACCCCTTAAGGAGTTATTGCCCTTTATAGTCAATTTTTATAAATTTTTACAACTTCTGGGCCAAGTTCATTATAGATAGAGATAATTGTAAGCAGCAAGAATGTTCAGTTGAGTAAGATCTACAAACACATCACCATCACCAAAACTCAATTTTGTCATGAATCCATCTGTGTCCTTTGCTTAATATGCACATAGACCAAGGTGAGCGACACAGACTCTTTAGAGCCTCTAGTTTATCATCTTCGCTAGCCAAGGGTTACGATCCACTTCCCTCCTCTCCACCCTTGGCGGATTGAGATAGAATTTCGGAGACACAAGGTCATGATTTTCATTGGTTGCAGTCGAAACTCCCTGCATCCAATCAAAAAGCGCCTATAACATGATCATGTGTAAATGTAGAAAGTGTATGTAAACAATTGCCACATGCTTATTGTGCAACAAGTCTTTACATCCCTAAACATACGACTATATTTAGTGACAATTTGAATGTTTTTAATCAACTAATAGAAGTTCCTGTGTATGAATGTCAACGTATATTTTCGTTTCCTGCTTTACCAAGTGTGTAGAATCTAGACGCTACCGTGTTTTTCCTCCAAATTGAAGAGTTCGAGTGCTACCATTGGTCAAGAATAATGTGTTCGGAATGGACGTGACTTTAATCTACCGATAGATGGCACCATATTGTTATCACAAATGTTGGCTTAATCTGCCAAGGGTGGAGAGGAGGGAAGTGGATCGTAACCCTTGGCTAGCGAAGATGCTAGTTTATATAGATTAGAACGTTGGTTTTCTGGTTTGAATTGTTTTACACTAGTCATTTTTGTGGCCCTTTATAGCTTGCTGTTCGGTGTGAGCTAAGGCTCTGTGTTGAAGACTGTACTTTGACCTATAGTGGTTTACTTTTATGAATTGTGACCTGGATGGAGAGTTGTCTCATTGGCACTTTATTTACTACGTATTTCATGTAAAATTAAACAAGTGAAACTGCTATTAGTCATGTATCAAACTTCTGCACCTTTCATGTCCTGGAAATGACATTAATAATTTTTTTCTATAAAGGTTGATATTTCAATAAATATATTTTCTGTAAAAAATGTATCATTTTGTGTTAAATTAAGACAGAATAAAGATCCAGAAATAAACAATTTGTATTACTTTCCAAACTATTTAGAACTACTTTGTTTATACTAATGTTGTCAACTTTTAACTGGTTAACTGTCAGAAGGACCCAATATGAAATACAAAAAATACTAACTGATTAGCAGATGTTTTGGCAATTTTAATAGATTTTATATAAATGTGAATTAAAAGTATTAATATTGTCTGGGGTAATTGATTTGACAGATCTATTGTCCAATATATTGATTGCTATTGTTAACCTTGTAAACCTAAATATATATATATATTTTTAACAGTTTTAAGCAGATTAAATTTTACCATTTACTACATTATTTCATTTATCATAACTTGGCCTCATCTTACTCAGTTGTCTGTTAACTTTTACAAAAAAATCGATTATCTAAAGTAAAAATTAAAAACTTCACTGGGAACGCTCAAAGAGCCTTATAATGCCAAAGGATAAACTTATCATATCACGATAATGTACAATTGTCCATTTTTTAATTTAAATTTGACAGATTAACAGGTTAACTGGTATCTATGTATATATATATATATATAGATACCAGTTAACCTGTTAAATCAAATTTTATCCTACTGTTCAGGCAAAACTGTTTGATTTGACATCACTACCTGTAGTTTATACTCTAATAGCTCACAGCCAGAACAACAAATCATAGTATTGATTTAAAATTTGGTTCAGTTGAAGATATCATGACAATATGCCAATTCTCTTGCATGCTTTCTATGTTTCTTGTTTTGGGCATATGTTGGATTTATAAAACCAAACTTCATTGTTTGACAATTGTACAATACTGTAGATTCATTTATTTTTGTAGAAAATAGGTATCTTCATGTATAATTAATTTGTAAACAAGCTGTAAGTGGCAATTATAATAAATATTCAATTTTTATTTTATTGTAGGTAGTGCAGCGGGTCTTCATTATATGACTGGTGCAAAACATGATGCAGTTTATGGTAAGCTTATAAACTATTTGTTTACTACTTAAACTAACATGATGTTCCTCTCCAAGAGTACAGAAGTATTGTATACTACAAAACTGTTTTCATGCCTGCTACTGAGATATTGTATACTACAAGACTGTTTCCACACCTGATACAGAGATATTGTATACTCATTTATCAATTGTACCATGCACTGCCATCTATAACATCATTTGTCAACTTTACCATCTACTGCCACCTGTAACATCATTCGTCATCTGTACCAACTACTGCCAACTACTGCCACCTGTAACATTGTTTGTCAACTGTATTATCTACTGCCACCTGTAACAACATTTGTCAACTGTACCATCTACTGCCACCTGTAACATCATTTGTCCTCTGTACCATCTACTGCCATCTGTAACATTGTTTTTCAACTGTACCATATACTGCCACCTGTAACATTATTAGTCAACTTTACCATCTACTGCCACCTGTAACATCATGTGTCAACTGTACCATCTACTGCTATCTGTAACATCATTTGTCCGGTTTACAATCTACTGCCACCTGTAACATCATTAGTCATCTGTACCATCTACTGCTACCTGTAACATCATTAGTCAACTGTACCATCTCCTGCTACCTGTAACATCATTTGTCATCTGTACCATCTACTGCCACCTGTAACATCATAAGTCAACTGTACCATCTCCTGCTACCTGTAACATCATTTGTCATCTGTACCATCTACTGCCACCTGTTACATCATTTGTCAACTCTACCATCTACTGTCATCTGTAACATCATTTGTCAACTGTACCATCTACTGCCATCTGTGACATCATTTGTCATCTGTACCATCTACTGCCACCTGTAACATCATTTGTCATCTGTACCATCTACTGCCACCTGTAACATCATTTGTCATCTGTACCTTCTTATGCCTCTGTAACATCATTCGTCATCTGTACCATCTATTGTCATCTGTAATATCATTTGTCATCTGTACCATCTACTGCCATCTGTAACATTGTTTGTCATCTGTACCATCTACTGCCACCTGTAACATCATTCGTCATCTGTACCATCTACTGCCACCTGTAACATAATTTGTCATCTGTACCATCTACTGCCACATGTAACATCATTTGTCAACTTTACAATCTACTGCCACCTGTAACATCATTTGTCAACTGTACCATCTATTGCCACCTGTAACATCATTTGTCAACTTTACCATCTACTGCCACCTGTAACATCATTTGTCAACTTTACCATCTACTGCCACCTGTAACATCATTTGTCATCTGTACCATCTACTGCCACCTGTAACATCATTTGTCATCTGTACCTTCTTATGCCTCTGTAACATCATTCGTCATCTGTACCATCTACTGTCATCTGTAATATCATTTGTCATCTGTACCATCTACTGCCACCTGTAACATCATTCGTCATCTGTAGCATCTACTGCCACCTGTAACATAATTTGTCATCTGTACCATCTACTGCCACCTGTAACATCATTTGTCAACTGTACCATCTACTGTCATCTGTACCATCTACTGCCATCTGTAACATCATAAGTCAACTGTACCATCTCCTGCCACCTGTAACATCATTTGTCAACTGTACCATCTACTGCCACCTGTAACATCATAAGTCAACTGTACCATCTCCTGCCACCTGTAACATCATTTGTCAACTGTACCATCTATTGCCACCTGTAACATCATTTGTCATCTGTACCATCTACTTCCATCAGTAACATTGTTTGTCAACTGTACCAACTACTGCCACCTGTAACATCATTTTTCAACTACCATCTACTGTCATCTGTAACAGCATTTGTCAACTGTACCATCTACTGCCATCTCTAAGGTCATTTGTAAAACATCATTTGTTAACTGTAACATCTACTGCCACCTGTAACATCATTTGTCAACTGTACTATCTACTGCCATCTGTAACATCATTTGTCAACTGTACCATCTACTACCACCTGTAACATCATTTGTCAACTGTACCAACTACTGCCACCTGTAACATCATTTTTCAACTACCATCTACTGTCATCTGTAACAGCATTTGTCAACTGTACCATCTACTGCCATCTCTAAGGTCATTTGTAAAACATCATTTGTTAACTGTAACATCTACTGCCACCTGTAACATCATTTGTCAACTGTACTATCTACTGCCATCTGTAACATCATTTGTCAACTGTACCATCTACTACCACCTGTAACATTGTTTGTCATCTGTACCACCTGCTGCCATCTGTAACATCATTTGTCATCTGTACCATCTACTGCCACCTGTAACATCATTTGTCATCTGTACCATCTTATGCCACCTGTGACATCATTCGTCATCTGTACCATCTACTGTCATCTGTAATATCATTTGTAATTTGTACCATCTACTGCCATCCGTAACATCATTTGTCATCTGTACCATCTACTGCCACCTGTAAAATCATTTGTCATCTGTACCATCTACTGCCACCTGTAACATCATTTGTCATCTGTACCACCTGCTGCCATCTGTAACATCATTTGTCATCTGTACCATCTACTGCCACCTGTAACCTCATTTGTCAACTGTACCATTTACTGCCATCTGTAACATCATTTGTCATCTGTACCATCTACTGATACCTGTAACATTGTTTGTCATCGGTTCCATCTTATGCCACCTGTAACATCATTCGTCATCTGTACCATCTACTACCATCTGTAATATCTTTTGTCATCTGTACCATCTACTGCCACCTGTTACATCATTCCTCATCTGTACCATCTCCTGCCACCTGTAACATCATTCCTCATCTGTACCATCTACTGCCACCTGTAACATCTTTCGTCAACTGTACCATCTCCTGCCACTTGTAACATCATTTGTCATCTGTATCATCTACTGCTACCTGTAACATCATTTGTCATCTGTACCATCTTATGCCACCTGTAACATCATTCCTCATCTGTACCATCTACTGCCATCTGTAACATCATTTGTCATCTGTACCATCTACTGCCACCTGCAACATCATTTGTCATCTGTACCATCTACTGCCACCTGTAACATCATTTGTCATCTGTACAACCTGCTGCCATCTGTAACATCATTTGTCACCTGTACCATCTTATGCCACCTGTAACATCATTCGTCATCTGTACCATCTACTGTCATCTGTAACATCATTTGTCAACTGTACCATCTACTGCCATCTGAAACATCATTTGTCATCTATACCATCTACTGCCACCTGTAACATCATTTGTCATCTGTACCATCTACTGATACCTGTAACATTGTTTGTCATCTGTACCATATTATGCCACCTGTAACATCATTCATCATCTGTACCATCTACTGTCATCCGTAATGTCATTTGTCATCTGTACCATCTACTGCCATCTGTAATATTGTTTGTCATCTGTACCATCTACTGCCACCTGTAACATAATTTGTCAACTGTACCATCTACTGCCACCTGTAACATCATTTGTCAACTGTACCATCTGCTGCCACCTGTAACATCATTTGTCAACTGTACCATCTCTTGCATCTTGTAACATCATTTGTCAACTGTACCATCTACTGCCACCTGTAACATCATTTGTCAACTGTACCATCTACTGTCATCTGGAACATCATTTGTTAACTGTACCATCTACTGCCACCTGTAACATTGTTTGTCAACTGTACCATCTACTGCCACCTGTAACATCATTAGTCAACTGTACCATCTACTGGCATCTGTAACATCACTTGTTAACTATACCATCTACTGCCACCTGTAACATTGTTTGTCATCTGTACCATCTACTGCCATCTGTAATATTGTTTGTCATCTGTACCATCTACTGCCACCTGTAACATAATTTGTCAACTGTACCATCTACTGCCACCTGTAACATCATTTGTCAACTGTACCATCTACTGCCACCTGTAACATCATTTGTCAACTGTACCATCTCTTGCATCTTGTAACATCATTTGTCAACTGTACCATCTACTGCCACCTGTAACATCATTTGTCAACTGTACCATCTACTGTCATCTGGAACATCATTTGTTAACTGTACCATCTACTGCCACCTGTAACATAATTTGTCAACTGTACCATCTACTGCCTCCTGTAACATCATTAGTCATCTGTACCATCTACCGCCACCTGTACCATCATTAGTCAACTGTACCATCTCCTGCCACCTGTAACATTATTTGTCAACTGTACCATCTACTGCCACCTGTAACATCATTCGTCATCTGTACCATCTACTGCATTCTATAACATCATTTGTCAACTGTACCATCTACTGCCACTTGTAACATAGTTTATAAACTGTAACATCTACTGCCACCTGTACCATAGTTTATAAACTGTACCATCTACTGCCATCTATAACATCATTTGTCAACTGTACCATTTACTGCCACCTGCAACATCATTAGTCAACTGTACCATCTACTGCCATCTATAACATCATTTGTCAACTGTACCATCTATTGCCACCTGTAACATCATATGTCAACTTTACCATCTACTGTCATCTGTAACATCATTTGTCAACTGTACCATCTACTGTCATCTGGAAAATCATTTGTCAACTGTACCAACTACTGCCACCTGTAACATCATTTGTCAACTGTACCATCTCCTGCCACCTGTAACATCATTTGTCAACTGTACTATCTATTGCCACCTGTAACAATGTTTGTCAACTGTACCATCTACTGCCATTTGTAACATCATTTATCAACTGTACCATCTCCTGCCACCTTTAACATCATTTGTCAACTGTCCCATCTACTGCCACCTGTAAAATTGTTTGTCAACTGTACCATCGACTGCCATCTGTAACAACATTTGTCAACTGTACCATCTCCTGCCACCTGTAACATCATTTGTCAACTGTACCATCTACTGCCATCTGTAACATCATTTGTCAACTGTACCATCTGCTGCCACCTGTAACATCATTAGCCATCTGTACCATCTACTGCCACCTGTAATATCATTAGTCAACTGTACCATCTACTGCTACCTGTAACATCATTAGTCAACTGTACCATCTACTGCCACCTGTAACATCATTTGTCAACTGTACCATCTACTGCCACCAGTAACATCATTTGTCAACTGTACCATCTACTGCCATCTGTAACGTCATTTGTCAACTCTACCATCTACTGCCACCTGTAACATCATTGGTCATCTGTACCATCTACTGCCACCTGTAACCATATTTATAAACTGTACCATCTACTACCATCTATAACATCAATTATCAACTGTACCATCTACTGCCACCTGTAACATAGTTTATAAACTGTACCATCTACTGCCATCTATAACATCATTTGACGACTGTACCATCTACTGCCACCTGTAACATAGTTTATAAACTGTACCATCTACTGCCATCTATAACATCATTTGACGACTGTACCATCTACTGCTACCTGTAACATCATTAGTCATCTGTACCATCTACTGTCAACTGTAACATCATTCGTCATCTGTACCATCTACTGCCACCTGTAACATCATTTGTCAACTGTACCATCCACTGTCATCTGTAACATCATTTGTCAACTGTACCATCTACTGCCACCTGTGACATTGTTTATAAACTTGAACATCTACTGCCACTGCCCACTGGTAACATAATTTGTCAACTATACCATCTACTGCCATCTGCAACATCATTTGTCAACTGTACATTCTACTGGCATCTGTAACATCACTTGTTAACTATACCATCTACTGCCACCTGTAACATTGTTTGTCAACTGTACCATCTTATGCCACCTGTAACATCATTTGTCAACTGTACCATCTACTGCCACCTGTAACATAATTTGTCAACTGTACCATCTTCTGCCACCTGTAACATTGTTTGTCAACTGTACCATCTACTGCCACCTGTAACATCATTTGTCATCTGTACCATCTACTGCTACCTGTAACATTGTTTGTCAACTGTGCCGTCTACTGCTACCTGTAACATCCTTGTTCAACTGTACCATAGTGTATAATTCTTGCTGTCATCTGTAACCATATAGCACGATAGGTGCAGCAGGACCTATTTACCCTATCGGAGCACCTATTCAATTCTCAGTCTTTAGTTTTCAATGTTGTGTTTTGTAGACTGCTGCTTGTCATGTTTTTTATGTTGTTGTTTTTTTTTTGTTGCTATTGCTTTGTTAGTTTAGATAGAATTTTCGTTTGGTTTCTTCTGCCTCTCAATTATTTGGATTTGTCTTGATTTACGAAAAATCTTGACAAATTTTATATTGCTGCATGATAAAAAAAAACTCAGCAAAGATACAATGCTTATGATAACAATATATTACTGAAGGGCATGCATGACTTATCATTTTTTTAGTTCTTAATAATGGTTTTGAAATTTCTTTAGACCAAAATATTAGTAATATCAACCTACCAGATGCTATGCGCATGTATATGTATGAAATGCATTATGGAAACTTAGAATGTTCTTCACTAGTAAATAATGTATATCAAAATGTAGGTACAAAATATTCTAAGTTCAATACCCTGATACCATATAAAAATAAGATATATTTTCTCTGCTATGAGTGCGTGAATGCACAGTTAGATAATTTTTTATTGCAAATGTTTTCCCACATTACAATTATATGGCTTTTGGTTGGAATGTTTTATTTGCTTGTGGGTGTTCAGAGATGATGACTGTGTGAAAGCTGTGTTACAAATATCACAATTATAGGGTTTTTCCTCTGGTGGATTTTCAGGAATGATGTATTTTGAAACATCTTTACACAAAACACATGCATATCTATTATGTTTCTTCATCTTACAATTTAAGCTTTCTTCTTCATTCTGGTATTCATCCGTTTACATATGCCTATGTTGTACAATAGATGTTAAGCTTTTCAATTCGCAGTTTATGCATATCTTTTCTACACTTTTGGCAAAGAAAAGCTGCTTACAAATTAGGCACAAATCATTACCATGATTTGGATATGTTATAAACATTTGCAATGCTGATCCTTCCATTGAACTCTGGGTTTTACCTTGAAAAGCAATAAAACGTATGTGCTCTTTCAAATTCAGTACCTTTTCAAGCAGCGTGAATAAAAAAAAAAATAAAAAAATTGGTCATCTGTATGACGTATGTCCTCGTTCACGAAATTCGGTGTTTCTTTTTGTGTAGTTTCCGTAATCATCTTCTGTTAACTCTGCCTGGTGATAAGCCATGCGTGAAACCTACTATCTGCAGGATGAAATTTTGCTGTCTGGATTTTGCTTCCCATAGACGATTGCCTACCATGGCTGACGAGCTCCATCTTCCCATCTTTTCTTTCTGGGTCTGCTCCCATAGCCTTTGATCTTCCCAGATCTAACTTCAAGGTAGTGGTACTATTTACCATAGTTTGGACAAGGTTGATGAGTGCAAGGGCGTGTCCACGCAACGATGGGCCTACACACTGCATCTCTAGGGTCCTTGTTGCTCTGAGATCCTCTACAATAATGCCTAGGATGCTAGATCCTAGTTACCATGTGCTGTCGCGGGGAAGCATTGTAGAAGTCTTGAATAGTGTAGAGGCTATGTACTGGCAGAAAGACTTACACACTCGGCTTTCTTTTCACCTACAAAGCAGGCTAGCTAGCGGTAATAAGGAACCTATGGCTATTACCACACTAGACGCTTACACAATCCTGTGGTACAAACCACCAGCAAACAAAAAAAAAGTTAATTATACTCTACATGTTTCTTTTCCTCTGTTGCATTGATGATTGGATTTCAAATTATTTTGTAAAATTCATTTTTCTTTTGCCCAGTCATGAGTAACTGTCCTTTCTTTAGCATGATTTAAGAGTCTCTTTCTCTCTTTTTCAATAGTTGTCCCATATCTTATATTGATCACAGAATGCTTGCCTCGGAGGCAAATGTCTGTCTCTGATTTGCATTTTATCTGAAATCGACATGTTTGTTACGATGTACAGTGACATTTGTATTCTTTTTTACATCACTTTTGATACCTAGAGTTAATAAATTCAATCAAACAAAACAAATCATCAAAATTTAGTATTTACTATTAATAGAAACAGTCATAGGAATCTGATAAATGATAAATTAAAGATTATATTTTAATTGCATTCCAGTCTCAGCGTTTGCATAATTATTCAATTAAAGATTTAGACATATTGTGTTCTGCTATTTTACAATCAAGATGGCAAAAGATAATGGAGTACAACATAATTCATCAAACTTATTAGGCTTATAAATTTGTATGCCAGATGGGTGTGTTAAATTGTATCGATCAGTAACACTGAATTTAAAGCATTTTAACAAATGCTATCATAATATATTTTATTAGTGCTTAAAATCAAAACATTTTTAATGTAATTATTGTTTGTACAATCTAGTTCTAGTACTGATTGACTGATACAGTATGTCAGTTTGCTTGGTATTTTGCATGGCATGCAATTTTAACTATCTGGCAGGTCGAAACTTTCCTGGTTCAGTTCAAAATTACGTTTTGTTAGACCCTGATTAAGATAGATAAAAAATGTAATAATGTTGTTGATGGAATTGAAGTGTTATTTTCAACAATGGAACATCAATTTAAATTTTGAATATGCTGTATTGACTAAAACACAATTTTTGGCTTGTTATAATCTTTAAAAAAAAAAATGAATGATGAATATTTAGAAATGCTGTATATATTATACATTTACAAGCATATGTAACCAGGAAGGTCTCAGGGAAAAGTCAGATTGGTGTATTTTATGTTCTCCACAAATTGTAAATTTGATGCATTCCCTGACTGATGAGACCAAATATGCGATCAAATTTATGGTTTTATTAGATAGTTACATAACTGCATTGAAAGCACATATCAACTTGCCGTGCTGTTACATTTTTTTTTAGGAAAACAGAAAAATCAATTTATCTGTGTTTTTTTTTTTCAGAAACAAGGAAAAAGTGGGAATCGATCTGCTACACCTAAAACTCTTTTATTATAATAGCGTAGATATGTTTGAATTATGATATTGACGTTTTTATGCCCCCGCCGTAGCGTAGGGGGCATTAAGTTTTACCCTTGTCCATCTTTACGTATGTCCCAAAGTTGGTTTCCGTTCTCTAACTTTAGTTTGCCTCAACCAATGTAATGAAACTTATACACAGTACTTATTACCACTAAACTGGAATCAAGTACAAATTTCGGTAGCTTCACTTTTACTGTTCTTCAGTTATCCCCTTTATAACTTTATATGATATGCAAGCGATTAATCCACATCACTTTGAAACGGCCCCACCCATTTCCCTCCCCCCTGTGTATGTGTATAGTGTGTATGTGTATATATGCTGTTGGAATCTAGACCAGTCTCAGATCAGATGCATGTTAATGTCTAACTCTGATCGGAATCCAGTCAGGAAACCTGTGAATCCAGATGGTTACTAGTGTAAAACAAAGACATGTTTGGGAAAAGAACCACAGTTTAATGCTTAAATTTCATATTAATAAAACACAAACAACAGTACAGTTTGAAAACAATACACAAATTAATTTATTAATAATCTGTGGTATTCCAAACTTCCCAAACATGTGTGGTGTAACCAGTAGAAGGTAGGTTAAATGGTTTATTATTTCCCCAGGGCAACTGCAAATTTGTTCATGACTTCCTGTCTGTGTGCAAAAGAAGGATCCAAGTATGATTTGTATGCATTAGATTTCCAATCACCCTGTGATTGTATGAGATCAGCTGGAACCCCACATTCTAAGGCAAAGGAGGCCCCTCCTCTGCGAAAACTATGTCCCGAATATTTGCTGCTGTCATAACCCAACCTAGATAAGTTCTGTTTTAGCATCTTTACAAAGGCTGTATATGTAAGAGGGGTAACCTTGCCTCGTACTAAATACAGGAAGACAGGTGAGGGGGCTGACACTGCTGGCACCTTTTTAAAATTTAAAAGAAGCGCCTTAGAGGGACATAAATGAGAATTCTTCACTCTAGGAAGGGGAATTTCTAATATACGCTCTGAAAATTGAATTGTTTTGGTTTTGCGTACTTTTAAACAGACACCATCTGAGTAAAATGTCGCAAAGGATCAAAAGCTGAAATTGAAGGGGGCAAACAAATTTGACTTCCTTAAAAAGGAGAAAAAAGCCACTAAGCAGGCTGCCCAAAAACACAAGTCCTTACTACTGCTGACTGACAGTAAAGTAAATATCTCATTCAAAATTTTTGGTGTAATAGGCAATTTTTTATGTATGGCAGCACCTAACACACGTTTAGCACCCTTGAGTACTGACTCCATAAAAAAGGAATCTATCGGAGATGCAACTCCTGATTCTAAATGTAGCAACCGCACAATTGACAAATAATTTGTTATGGAATTAAATTGTAACCTTGAAGATAAATAGGCTACATATCTGGCTAAATTCATAGGACTTAATGGAACAAGGGTAATATTTAATCTTCTACAAAATTCTGCATATGACTTGAAATAGTTTAAATATGTCTTTTTGGTAGATTCAGCATAAGTATGACATCTAAAGTTAGCAACAATACTATCCAGTGATCTCACCTCCCTCGATACCAGTGAGCCTAAATAAAAGAAAACGAAGGGCATTACTAGACATGTGCCTAACAAGATCCTGTAAATACAGTGGCAGTCGAACATATTCACGCAAAAATTGTTCACAGAAAGGTAGATCATGCATCCGTGAAATACAGTCTGCTAGTATATTCGTTTTGCCTGGAACATGCTTAGCTATCAAGTGAAAATTATACGTTGCTGATAACCAAAAGAGCTCACGCAAAAAGGACATCAAAATAGCATTTTTTGGGGCCCATCGCTTTACTGCTAACGCCACTGAGAAAGCCTCTAATTCATTTATGTGAAGTTTCAAAGCAAAGGGGTGATCTTCTGCCCAATTTACATAAAACCAATCATTTTGATAGACACCCTCTCCACCTGATTTACAAGCATCAGTAGCTACAGAGGTGATAGGAACCTTTGCAAGTAAAATTGACTTCCCATTAAAAGTTGAAATAAAGTTATGCCACCACTTTATATCTTGCAATATTTCGCCTGTCAGACGCAATTTATGCCAATCTAGCTGTAATCGCATGATGCCGTTTATAATTCTACGGAGAAAAACTCTCCCGCCTCGAACCACAGCAGACGCCCA